AGCGAGACCCCCTTTCATCTGGATCCTGTGTCCTGTTGATATGGCTCTGTCACTTGCTATAGCATTTCCTTACTTTCTGGCACACACACAAAGGTGTTCTTAGCTCATCTTGTACTTTCTCTCCTCCAGCCCTGGAAACAGTCATTTCTTCTAGGAGCTCTGTTTCTTTTAGAGGAAAGGATATTAGAAACCAGGATATGGATGCTAGGCCTGTTGCTTTTGGAATGTTATTTAGCAGACAGAGCTAGCAAACACACATGCATACATAACAGAGCTGCATCTATTTCTTTCTTTAGCTGTATGAAGATACAGATCTATCTTAAACTCAGTGTATTTGTACAGATACTTCCTACTTCATACAGCATCAGAGTTCCTCTTGTACTTTCTGTCATAGTTCTAACTCCATGGCACTTAGAAACCGTAGTCCCGTTTTGAGTTGAAGGTTTCTTTGTGGCATGCAAGTGAAGAGCTGATTAGGCTTTTTGGCTTCCTTAAGGATCTGGAACTCAGAAGAGGAACTTTGGTCTCATGGGATAATGGGAGTAGTAATTTAAGCCCAGGAATGCCACACACTTAACATTTTTTTCAGCAATGACGAGCAGGGGAGGAAGGAGCTTTTAATTGGTACCTTCTATGAAGGCAAGACTCATGTTTTAGGGATATTTCATTATTTTAGCAAATATTTGAGTGCCTATTTTGTGTCAGGCACAGTTCTAGATGCTAGTGACAGGGCAGAGAGGTATCCTGTTCTGAGGCACATTATAGTGGGAAGGGGCAGAAATAAAGTTACAAAATACTATGGGATAATAAATTCTGTCTGCAGAGTCAAAGTAGGATGATCATTTGGGTTGTCAGGGAAGGTGTGTCTGAGGAGATGACGTCTCATTGAGATCTGAAAGGAAAGCAACAACCATGTGGTCAGGAAGAGGAACATTAGAGACAGAAGAAATAGGCCAAAAAGTCTAAACTTGGCATGTCCTAGCAACAGAAAGACGTGGGTGTCTGGGGACAGTAGATTGGGGGAGGGGAGGTCACTAAGATCAGAGTAGTAGCAGGTGGTATTTGTAGAATATGGGGAAACTAGAACTCAGAAGTTAATTACTATATAAGTAAATGAGTAAATGGTAGAATTAGGACTCTTAGAAATACTTTTTAATCTAAACCCCATTCTTAACCAAAGCCCAAATTTGCCCCAAGTTTGGGATTGAATGCAGGTAGTAAATTTAGGTTAACTGAAAAAAAGGTTTGCTTTTAAAAGGGAATGCTATTAGAGTGGTGAAGATGGCCCAGGAGAAAACTAGTTTTTCAAGGCTTGGTAAAAGTAGCAAATTAAGACTATTAGCACAGAATCAGGGAGTTATTTGAGGGAAAATTGGAAATGTGGGAGTTCCTGCAGGAAAAGGCTAATGACAAGAATTTAAAAAAAATGTCACTGAGTTAGCTGGGGGTCCATGTATAGTGAATAAGACAGACATAGTCCTTGCCTTTTGATCATGTACGAAGGTATTCATTTTGGTACATCCTTGTCAGCAGTGGGTTCATGTTTTGGTTTTTTGCCATTTTGATCAGTAAACAATGTCTCATTGTAACTTTCTTTGATTACTGATACTATGAGTGTCTTTCATGTATTTGTCCATTTTTATGTCTTTCAGTTAATTTTAAGTTAAGAGTCTGGCTTTCAATTGGAGTTTTTGAACTTCACAAATTCTGTATTACTAATTATTTAAGAAACAATATTTTAGATTAGATTTCTTTCTTTTTTTTTTTTTTTTTTTTTTTTGGCAGCACTGGAGTTTGAACTCACGGTCTCACGCTTGCCAGGTAGGCACTCTTACTGCTTGAGCCACTTTGTCAGCCATAGTTTTTTAGATTTGAAAAATAGGTGGCATTCCTGCAATTTAATATTTCTAAAGTACATTCCTGCTTCCTGCCCCTTCATTGTTCTAAAGATATCTGTACCCCTTGCAGGAATACTGATGAAACTGGTAGCTTTATAGAAAATTGCCCTCTACCTGTACCTCAAGCATTTCAGGTGAATGTTAATTTCAAAATTAAAATCTCATCAGGATATTTTAATAACATCATTAAGATAGGTTCTGTCTAACTCCTGGTATACAAGAAAAACTTGTTTCTTATCCTTTGCAATTCTAGCGGCAGTATTTCACTCAGCCATTCCATAGTTATTACTTTCTTATCTTTTCATTCTGGATGTTAGGAAGGGAGTGAAACCTCTTATCTTTGTTTTTGCCTATTTTCTACTACTGTTTCAGTTCATTTTTTAAAGAAAGTGTCGCAATTCCAAATTGTTTCTAAAAGCAATAGTGTTGTGCCATTGGTAAAATGGGGTTGAACTCAGGGCCTCATGCTTGCTAGGCAGGCACTCTACCACTGAGCCAATTACCAGCTATTTTTGCACTGGTAATTTTCAAGATAGGGTCTTCCTTTATGTCCAGGCCAGCCTGGACCTTGATCCTCTTGGACCTTTGTATTTCCTCCATAGCTGGGATAACAGGAGTGTGCCATTGTTCCCAGCCAATGATTGAAATGGGGTCTTGTGAACTTTTTGCCCAGGCTAGCCTCAAACCTCTAGCCTCTCTAGTCTTCTAAGTAGCTAGGATTGCAGGTTTGAGCCACCATGCCCAATCATTGAAGACTTGCTTTTAAAGTGACCTTTTTTTTTTTTTTTTGGCAGTGGTGAAGTTTGAACTCAGGGCCTCATGCTTGCTAGTCAAGAGCTGTACCACTTGAGCCACTCTGCTAGCCCTAAAGTGACCTATTTTGTAATATTCAGTGTGGAGTTTTGTATTCTTTTGAGGGTTGAAAAATCTACTTTTATTATATTCCTGAATCTATTTAGGTAGATGATATAGAGCTAATACTCTGTATTTATAAATATGTACCCTTGGGCAAGATAACCTTTCTTGAGTTTCTTATCTGTCAAGTGGGGATTTCTGGGGTTTAAATAACAGAAATTCATGTTTAGGACAGTGCTTGACACATAGAAGGTCCTTAATAAGCATAAGTGTATGTTCTTACTATTTTTTTTCGCATTACTGGGATTTGAATGCAGGACCTTGTGCAAGCACTGTACCACTTAAGCCATGCCCCAAGCTCTTTTTGTTTTAATTTGTTTTTCAGATAAGGTCTTGGACCATAATCCTTCTACCTGTACCTGTGGAGTGGATGGGATTACAGGCTTGTACCACCATCCCTGGCTTGTTTTTTGAGCTAGGTCTTGCTAATGTTTTGCCTGAGTTGGATTCTAACCATGATACTTCTGTCTCCTCCTTCTGAGTAGCTAGGATTACAGGCATAAATCTGTGTATTGTCTGAGTTGCCCATTTCACTGAGATGGTATCAAGATCCTGTGTGAAAATGGATGTAAACGCAGGGTAGATAAATTTGTGATCCTGGTAATAAACACTTCTTTTTCTTTGCACAGCAAGTGTTTAGATACCAAATCACTGTATTCATCATTTCTTATTGACAGAGGAAATAAAATCCATTTATACATTTTTAATAGTTATCTTAAAATAATTTTCTTTTATGATTTTTCTTCTGGATAGCTTTCATTTAATTCCTATGATATTAAAACAAGTATCTGCATTACATCCTGCAGCTCACAAAGCTGAGGAACTATATTACGTTTAAAGTTGGCTCAAACTGGGTACTGCAGCCTTGAAGGAAGGAAAACGTTTCGAATTATTAAATGAGGGTATTTTTAGGTATCTCCACTATCCCAAATTGATGCCTCCACTCTGGCCTCTTTCCTGAGTCCTATATCTTGTGCTGCTTATTGGATATTTTCACTTGAATATTTTTGCTGTTGTTTCAAATTCAACAGGTTTAAAACTGAGCTTACGATCTTCCTTCTAGAACTGGAGCTGCCGCTGACTTTCCTTTTTCTATTAATGCTGGCACTGTCCCCTTGTAACCCAGACCTGATGATCCTCTTTGATTTCCATCTTGACCTCTGCTTAATTCCTAAGTACTTCTTGTTTGTCTTTAGCAGTCCTTCACTTCCTGTCTTCATTACTGCCTCAAACTTTATTTCCTTATTTCTATAAAATCTTCTAGTTCTGATTTTTATAGCCATCAGTATTTATTACAACATTTTATTTTTTGAGACAACAGTCTGACTGTGTAGCTTACCCTGGCCTTGAACTCATGATCCTTCTGTCTCTACCTTCTAGGCGCTGGTATTTCAGGCATGTGTCACCATGCCCAGCTGAACACGAGCTTTTGTTTTATTTCATTTAAATTCTATTTATTTATTTTTTGGTACTGGGGTTTGAACTCAGGGTCTACAACTTGAGCCACTCCGCCAGGCTTTTTTTTGAGATAGGGTCTCTTGAACTATTTACCCAGGTTGGCTTCGAACCATGATCCTCCTGATCTCTGCCTTCTGAGTATCTAGGATTACAGGTGTGAACCACTGGCACCTGGCTGAGCATGAGTTTTTGAACATCAGATCTCTACTAAACAACAGCTAAGCTTTATCAGGAAGGGAGAGAGACCAGGGGCCTTGAGATAGAAGGATAGTTTAGGCTGTCTGTTCTGCATCTTGGTAGCTGTAAAACTTTTTTCTTAATCCTCATGTAGCTGTTATGGTGTATTTCCTGGTTGACTACTTGCATGTGCAGTTATTCACTGACATTAGTTCTTAGGAATCTTATAGTTCATTCTGTATTTTTAAACTTTGCATGTGAAATTACTTTCCCCAGAGCCACTAGACTCAGAAAACTTTTCTCCTTGCTAGTTGAAGTCTTTATTTGGAATATACTCAATTTAGATAGTATCTCCTGTAAAGAAGGTTTGTATCTTTCTTTCATTCTAGCTTATATGCCAAAGTCCAAAGACATCATCTTTTCAGTTAAGGGGATATTGTTATTCTTTAGAGGGAATCTTAAGTTCTGTGTTATAAATAATAATAATTGTTAAATTATGTGGTTTTTTAAATAAAAATCTTCTAAGAGAATTTTTTTCCTTAATCTTTATAGAAAATGTGCCAGAGGAACTTCGAGAACCATTTTATACAGATCAGTATGACCAGGAACACATCAAACCACCTGTTGTGAATTTGCTTCTGTCAGCTGAGCTGTACTGTCGTGCTGGGAGTCTCATTCTCAAGAGCGATGCAGCAAAACCCCTTTTGGGCCATGATGCCGTGATCCAGGCTTTAGCACAGAAAGGCCTTTATGTCACTGACCAGGAGAAATTGGTGACTGAACGAGATCTTCACAAGAAACCCATACAAATGGTGAGTCTCTACACACCCAAGATTATTTTAGCTTTGAAATGAAGACTATTGACTGTGAATTGTACTGCAAAACAGAGGAAAATATGTTTTGAAATCTGATTACCATCTCTAGAAGTTTAAAAACTTCCTTGTAAACCTTTCTTCTAAGTGAAGAAAAATTTTAACAAACTTTCGGACTATTTGGTGGCATCTTATATCCAGAAGAAACAATTATTCATTTCTAACCATTTTGACATAATTTTTATCTAATTAAATTTTTTTTTATATCATAGAGATTAGTTGGAAGAGATGGAAAATCCATCCTTTACTTTCTTTTCATTAGGCCAGAGTTGAGATTTGTAAAAGTTTGTTTATGTGCTCAAATAACCTCTTGGTAAATTTGTACATATCAGATATTTTAGTTTATTCAACAATCATTAGCTTATGCTTATAAAAAACACAGGCAGGACTCTAAACTGGCCTGGGTCAGCATAAAGGAATTCTCTCAAAGATAGTCTCTGGAGACATAAGTCCTAATGTTTTTAAGCCATTGTGTGCTGTTTCAGTCCATTGTACTGCTTTAGCTTAAGTTTCTCAAAATGCAGGAATCATTAAGAGTGCTAATAAAAATGGTTTTGTGTGTTTGATTAAATTATGTAGTCTCATGAGACTGGTAATCCTGCTTGGGAGGAAGGGAATATATGTAGAAGAGTATATTATGAAACTATGAAATTTAGGAAGGATGAGCAAAAATGAGGTTTCCAAATCTGGTACTAAATGAGGTGATGGCCTACTTTGCTTTCTGCCTGTTTCTCTTCTTTTGGAAACCTATTTTAGGGACTGGAGATGTGGCTCATTGGTTGAGTGCTTGCCTAGCATGCACGAGTCCCTGGGTTTGATCTCCAGCGATGCAAAATATGAATAAGTAAATAAATAATAAATATTTTAATACTTCTAGGGAATAGAGAATGATGTTTCAAGATCACGTTATAGACTTATAATAGAATTATTAAGGATAACTGATAATATTGATCTATTATCAGATAATGAGATTTTTAACTCCACCTTCATCTATCATTAGGTTGCCCTCTGACTTTTGTACATTTCTCAGGGCTCTACAACTTGAGCCACTTTGCTAGCCCCTACACAAGTACTAGAGGCAAGTAGAATTCTACTTCTGTGTCATCTATTTGTGTGTCACATTCAGCTCCTCCAGAACCACTCTACTAGTTGGACTCTCCTGCCGATTACTTCATTTCCATTGTTTCAAGGCCAAGTGGATAGTTACAGAGCACACTGATAATTTTGTGAATCAGTATTTGCATATCAACTGCTCTTTCAAAGTTATATAGATAATACTCTAGATAACCTATGTGTCCTTAAAGTAGATTATCTATTTTAGAATCTTGTTAATAAGAATAAAACAAACTTAGCATACTTTCTCCATTTTTTTCCTAGTGTACTTTGTGTGTGTGAAGATACACTATGAAGGCATTTGTAGAGTTAATTTAAAAGTAATGCTTTTGGTAGATGGCATATTGCATTATTCAGATTTCTTTCACACTATTGGTCCTGCTGATAACTTTGAATGGATTTAAAAAATATTAATAGAATTAATTTAAATGATACAGAATTTCTCTTTTTCTGGCTCTATTTGTGGGTTAGAACTTGAGAATTCTTTGCAGTATCACATACACTGACCTGTATTTTTAAGTGTATACTTTCAATTTTTATCACAATTTAAAGTTTTCCAATTGCTGTGATAATTTGGTTAGTGATATTGTAATATTGGTTAGTGATATTGTAATATTTATTACTCATTTCCCAAAACCTAGGGGAAAAAATTTCTCAGACTACTAAAAACTTGTTCCTTAAGAAATATGTTTTTTTAAAGAGCAAAATGGTAGTTATGAAAAGTATCAGTTATCTCCTTTGTCTTTTTCCTTTTAAAATAGTGTTTTAAATTAAACTGTATGTCTTGCCCCATCTTCTTTATCACTTTCTACCTCTAAATTATCTTAATAATTTTAGCATGTTTCATTCTGTATGCTGCCTCATAGCCTTTTTTGGGGAAAAAATATGTGGTGGTAACAAAAGTATCATCCCAAGTTTTAAAGAAATGTTTGTACCAGTTTCTTTTTGATCAAAGTCTACGATAATATAAAACTTCCTAAGTGAAATTATATATACTAAGACAGTGATTTTTAAACAATATATACCAAATCATTAACTTTGGTTTCTTCTGGGAAATGGGATTAAAATGGGGTTGGAGGAATAAATGAGGCTTTCATTTTTTATTTGTATTTCTGTATTGCTAGCATTTTTATATAATTATACTGTTTTAAAACTTAAAGAAACTGGTGGAGTGGCTCAAGTGGTAGAGCACCTGCCTAGCAAGTGTGAGGTCCTGAGTTCAAACTCCAGTGCTGCAAAAAAAACTTATAGAGAAAAAACTTCAATTCAAATAGAAATGATAGTTGTCTCAAATGAAGTGCCTTGTATGTATACTAAATATTTCTGGTATTCTATTCACTTTTTAATTTTTGCAATACTGGTGTTTGTACTCAGGACCTCCCACTTGTTAGACATGTACCTTACCACTTGAGCCGCATTTCCAGCCCTTTTATTCTTAATTTGTTTTTCAGATAGGGTATTGTGTTTTTGCCCCCAGCTGGCCTGGGACCTCAATCCTCTTACCTCCACCTCCTGAGTAGCTGAGATTACAGACAGTGCCACCATTCCCAACCCCAGTATTTAAATTTTTAAAAAGAAATGAGTACTCAGCTTTTAGCCTTTAAGTAAACATAGGATATGAGAACTCATATTGAAGAATTCTCCAAGTAGTTCAATTTAGCAGTCATTTTAGAATGAAAAGAGATATGATGAAGGCAAGTTTGACTAATGAGTTGATCTTATTATTAATTTTGTTAATATTGAGAGGAATGCTTTTCCAAAACTAAGAAGTCAAGTCATCACTTGCCTAGTGTGCTCAAGGTCCTGGGTTCAATCCTCAGTACCACAAAAAAAGAGAGAGAAGTCATGTTGGAGAATATATATCATTTAAAAACATTTTGAGAATATAGCTTTTTAAATGTGTTCTGTATTTATATCACTGGAAAAGTATTTACAGTCACTTTATTTTGAAAGCCACTTAGTAATTTTAATGTTTATAATTTTATTTCAGCATTATGTATAGAATGCTCAAAGGAATTATAATTATGGTCTGCATAATAATCTTATAACTATGTGAGTAGAGCTGGGTGCCTGTGGCTCACACCTGAAGTCATAGCTTCAGGTGTCATATAGTCATATGTTATAGGCTGAGACTAGGAGGATTGCCTGGGCAGGGAGTTTGTGAGACTTCGCTTCAATCAGTAGCTTGGCGTAGTGGTGTTAACCTGTTGTCCATAGCTATGCAGGAGGCTGAGATCAGGAGGACTGTGTTTCCAGGGTAGCCTGAACAAAATTGTTCATGAGACCCCATCTCAACAGAAAAAATCTGGGCATAGTGGTGCATACCTGTCATCCCAGTTAAAGTTTGAAACATAAAATAGGAAGATTGTGGTTAAGCTGGCTGGGCTAAAAGCATGACCCTTTCTCCAAAATTACTAGCGCAAAAATGGCTGGAGGTGTGACTCAAGCTGGAGACCACCTGCCTAGCAAGCATGAATTCCTGTGATTAAGACAAATGGAAACAATATATAGTCAGCCCACCATATCCGTGGGTTCTATTCAGTGGCTTGTGCTTGCAGGCAGGTATTCCACCTCAGAGCCACCCCCTCCCCCACACACCTGCTTTTGATTTTTACCCTATATCAGGTAGGCTCTTGTGTTTTGCCCAGGACTTGCCTTAGACCACAATCCTTCTACCTACAATCCTCTGAAGCAGTTGAAATCATAGGTATGTGCCACCACACACCTTACTGATTGAGATATGGGGTCTTTTTGCCTAGACTGACCTCAAACTTCAATCTTCCCAATCTCCACTTCCCAAATAGTTGTGATTACAGATGTGAACCTCCATGCCTAGTGCCTCAACCAGCCTTTAATTGAAGATATTCAAGAAAAAAAAATTGTCAAGATACTGAACATGTATAGACTTTTTTCTTGTTATTTCCTAAATAATAGTGTATAGCAACTGTTTATATAGCCTTTGCATTGTACTTGCATTATATGTAATCTGGAGATGAATTAAAGTAGGAGGAGATGCATAGGTTATAAGCATACACTACACCACTTTCTACAAAGGTCTGGAGCCTCTATAGATTTTGGTATCTTCAAGAGCTCTTGGAACAATCCACCGGAATAACAAAGAATGGCTAGTTACAATGTTGAAAAAACACATAGTTCTGAGAACTAACATAAATATCTGCTTGAATTAACATTAAATTTGTGACTGGGTAATAACCAGAGGAAAAGTTAAAAACCACATTAAAATCAGATGAACTTTTTCAACCGATAGTATGTTCTAGCCCAAATCTTGTTATCTGTTAAATTATTTATCAGAATAAATACTGGTATCCAAGATGATATGAAAATTGAGGGACTCGTAGCAACTGCAGCCAAATGCTAAAGAAGAGAGCTTCAGAGTACAAGGGAAGTTTTGATCTTTCTTCCATAGAAAGTGTCATGAGAATGGCAGTAATATCATTGGGTTGGGCTGTACAGCCTTTGATCATTGTCAGAAAATTTCAAATTTACAGACTTCATCACCAGGAGAAACCTTAGAAATCAGAAACCAGTGCCTATAAAACTTACTGAACGCTACTTGGGGAGCTTTGAATATGGATTCTGCGGCTCTCAAGCCAGAGCGGCTAAATTAGAGCCTGGAGAGAAGAGGAGAGACATGCATTTGTTAATATGTGATTTTTATGATTAAGAATGCATGGGAAGGGCTGGGGACATGGCTCAAGTGGTGAGCGCCTGCCTAGCAAGCACAAAGCCCTGAGTTCAAGTCCCTGCACAGCCAAAAAAAAAAAAAAAGGAATGTATGGGAAACACTAGTCTAATCCAGAGTCATTTTATGTGCAGCACAAAGCGAGGGCTTAGAAATGTTAAACGGGACCTGGCAGGGGTGGCTCACAGCTGTAATCCTAGCTACTCAGGAGGCAGAAATCTGGAGGATCATGGTTTGAAGCCAGCCTGGAAAAATAGTTCATGAGCCCCTATCTTGAAAATACCCATCATAAAAAAAAGGACTGGCGGAGTGGCTCCAGGTGAAAGCCCTGAATTCAAGCCCCAGTCCCCCCCTAAAAAATAAAAGAAACGTTAAAGGGATTTGTCTGAGGTAGCAAAACTAGAGTTAAAATCTGAATGAGCCAGAACTGTTTACGTTTGGTGTAATCTGATGCACATTTGCACACTGAAGTACTTGGAATCATGCTTGGCCAGCTGTATCTAAACTGCAGACTATTGTGGATGAAACTCTTGGTTGTGATTAACTTTCTGATCATGTTTGCATATATAGGAACTAAAAGTTGACATTTGTAAAACTCACTAAAATATATATGAATATAAATGTATGTAGTGTATATGATATGAAATAATAAATTTTCATGTGTGACTTATAAGGTTTATTTAATTTTGTTTTGGAACCAACATTATTATATAAGCTACAATTTTATTTTGAAGTTCTTTATTTTGATGTATATCAAAAAGAGATGGAATATTATGTGTACTTAATGGAAATTAAAATGGGCTGATTTGTCACTGCATAGGTAAAGCATAAAATGTTCTCTTCTGAGTTGTTAATATTGTTATAGTGGATATTTTTAGATATTCAGAAAATACAAGCTAAAAAGTTGTGGTCCATCTGTGCAGTAGCATTACACTGCTTTGTTATAATGTGATGGGAAGGCCAGGGAAGCTGTAGTTAAAACAGAAAGATAGTAAGAGTATTTTTCAGCCTTAAAATAATATTTCTATATGTAAAGAAGTGTTCATTTTATCAATTGGGTTATGTCCTGCATCCATTTGAATGATAATGAACATAAAAATCTAGTGAGGAACACACTCTGCCTAATGATAGCATGAAATAAGTGCTCTCAATTTAACAATGGGAACCTAGAGGTGAATGCGAGGGGAAGGCATCATAGGAGAGATTGACTAAATTGTTTCAGTGGTTTGGGAAAGGGGTGGGGTGGCACTGTTGACTAGATTGAATGGTTTAACCCAGTTTGCACTGGGAAAGTATGTTATATATCCCAAATTATTGACTTCGTTGAAGTATACAGATAAGACGCTAGATTATGAAGATCTGTGAGTTGAAACTAAACATTTTTGACTTCTGTGGGTTACATAAGGATCATGGAACAACTTGCCACACTATTTCTCTCTCTTTCTCTTTTTTAATTGTTACTGTTTTCTTTTTTCCCTCTGCCTGTATTCAACAAAATTTTGCAGAACATTTCATGAACGTCTTTATTGCCAGGTTAGAATAAATTATTACTAGGGAATTCTTAGGTCTTTATGAGTTGCATATATTTATCTGGTAGCTCTTTTTGCTTATTTTACTGTGTACCCAGGCAGCATACTTATGTTTTATACACTCTGTCTCATAAACTAATTCTTATAACAACTCTGAGTATTGTCCCTGTTCTACTGGTGAAGAAACTGAGGGCTTTGAGACCATAACAAAGGTCATGGAGCAAGTAAGCAAGCAGTGAAGGTAAGACTCTGACCATGTCTGCTTTAACTATACAACCTGTTCTTAACCACTAGATTGTATTTTTGTCTTTGCCTAGGTAATAGGTAGGTGGTAAGGGTGAGGTAGAAGGAATAGAAATGGCTTGATGCCTGTGTATATCTCTTTGCCTAGTGTTTTGTTTGCAATCTTGGTAATTTTCCTAGTCTTTTTAGAGTAGTTTACCCCTTCTGTTCTTGTTTCAACACTTAAGTTAATTTCATGTACCTTGGAAGTAACTGACATGTTAAGTAGGATGCCTGGATAGAAGATAAAAGAAGAATTGATAGAGTCTGGGTAGATATGAGTTTCATGGTACCTAAGAATGTGCAAAGCAATCCTCTCATTACCATTATTTTTTGCCAGATACATGAAAAGTATTGAGAACAGAGAGACTGAGCACAGGAGCACCCTCTCCCCTCTTACAACTGTGTTTATCATGTTAGAGTCACTGTTTATTTATAATCATTTATTTGTTAACTCTAACTTTATTGAAAGTAAACTGTCTGAAAAAGAGTTTTCTTTCTGATAGAAATGGCTTGATGAATGGTGCCTTTTTTTTAACCATATCTTACAGAAACCTTTTATACTTGTAATAAAACTGAATTCAGTCTGATGACTTATTAATTTATTCAGTTTATTTAAGGGATTTCTACAACATACTTGGTATTGTCTTCTGTGATTAAAGAGTTCGTGTCCTTCAGTGTATGACTTTCTAGTCAAGGTTATAGAAAATGAATCAGATTTTAATACCAATATTTATGGAATGTAGGAACAGCAAACTCAGTACTACTCTTAAGCCACATTTTGAAAGAGGTGGAGGAATTTCCAAGGTAGTGAAATGAAGGCTGTGCTGGAGGTAATATATGTGGACTAAAAGGAGCTGTTAAAAGGGAGTGTTAGAGCATGATGCACTTAGAGGGAAAGCAAGGGCTTGCTTGTAGCTTTAGTGTTAGATACATACTGGGAGATGATGAGGATGAGATCACAGAACAGATGGAGACGGTCCAGAATGACCATCAGTGTGGCAATCACTATGTGTGTTCTGGAAGTGATAGGGAACTGCATAGCACAAGGATAAACCCTAAGGAGAAGCTATCATCGGACTGTGCTTCAGAAAGTCACTCCGGTGATGTTGTGGAAGAAACACCACTCAGGAGGTAAAATAGCTGGCTAATAACGGAGAGGCTGGGGAGATAGAGATGTGGGATTTAGTGAGAGGGGCATTTTTAAGGTAGGAAACTGGGGTTTGAACTTAGGGTCTTGTGCATGCTAGGCAGGCACTATACCACTTGAGTTATATCCCTGGCCCTTTTGTTTTTAGCTACTTTTTGAGTAGGGTCTCAAATTCTTGCCCAAGCTAGCTTGAATTGCAGTCCTCCTGTTTCTGCCTTCTGTGTAACTGGGATGACAGGCATGTACCACCATGATCAACTTTATTGATTGATATAGGGTCTCACTTTGCCTGGCCTGACTTTGAACTGGCCCCGAACTGAGCTCCTTCTGATTTCCATCTTCCAAATAGTTGACATTATAGACCTGAGCTACTGTGCCTCTCCTAAGATAAACTTTTCACCATCTGAGTTGGGAGATAATGAAGAAAACCTATAACAGGGCTGACAAAAAATAGTTTATCCTTTATATCACCTCTAATTTGTAGTGAACTGCTAGAAAATAGGGAAAAAATAGCAGCTGGGTTTCATCCATTATGGTATCCTGAGGGCCTAGATGGTCACTCCCCATCTTCTGTGGCTCCTGGTGTTTTTGATCCCTGGTATTTTTACCTACTAATGATTTTAAAAATTTTTTAAATTTCTTTTATTCATATGGGTCATTTCTCCCCCCTTCCCCCTGCCCCCTCCCTTTCCCCCTATCCCCTCTCTCTCCCCCCCACCCCCTTGCTACCAGGCAGAAACTATGTTGCCCTTACCTCTAGTTTTGTTGAAGAGAGAGTATAAGCAATAATAGGAAGGACCAAGGGTTTTTACTAGTTGAGATAAGGATAGCTATACAGGGAGTTTACTCGCATTGCTTTCCTGTACATATGTGTTACATTCTAAATTAATTCTTCTCCAGCTAACCTTTTCTCTAGTTCCTGGTCCCCTTTTCCTATTGGCCTCTGTCGCTTTAAAGTTTCTGCATTATTTCCTTTGCATTGAGGACATCAAATGCTATCTTGGTTTTTTTGGGTTTCTTGCCTATCCTCATACCTCCCATGTGTGTTCTTGCCTCATCATGTGATCAAAGTCCAATCCCCTTGTTGTGTTTGCCCTTGATCTAATGTCCTCATATAAGGGAGAACATACGATTTTTGGTCTTCTGGGCCTGGCTAACCTCACTCAGAATGATGTTCTCCAGTTCTATCCATTTACCTGCAAATGATAACATTTCGTTCTTCTTCATGGCCGAGTAGTATTCCATTGTGCATAATTACCACATTTTCTTAATCCATTCATAATTTTTAAAAAAGTAATGACATCGTTTTATAGATTAGAAATCTTGAGACATGCATTTGGTAGAATATCCTAGAATATCCAGTGTCTTTAGTTATGTTACATATTTCCCATGAAGTTGACAGTCATTCATTTCTTTGATGGAATTTCTGCAGATACTCTTGGAAGAGGTAGAGGAGAGGTCATGGGGATGGAAAGAGATGCAGTGTGGACAGTGGAGTAGGACTGAGGTATCGAGCTTGGGGATGAGATGAAATATGTGGAAAGTAGTATAGTTTGTTGATATTAATTATTAATATGTGATAAAGGTAGTAGCATTCTTGTTTTATACATGAGGATACTGATTTATAATGGATTACAGACTTTGTCTTGAACCCACCCACAAATAACCCCCTCTTTTGTAGTGTTTGGTAGCTTGTGAAGAATTTATGAATTATTATTTGGTAACAACCAGAAAAGGCAAATAGGGAAGTTACTTTATAAGTAAGGAAGCTCTATGGATGGATGAATTTGATACTTACTTGGTTTCTGCTGAAAGAGGAGTAAGAAGCAGAAATGATAGATTGTGACCATATTGCTAGGTTTTGACCAAGCAGAACTAGATTTCCAGCTTCTCACACAGTACTTGTTCTACAAACACATCATCTGTCTTCCTTTCTCCTGTACACTGTACACTGTGTTGGTTATGGAGAGACTAGCAGAGAACATCAGTGTGGAGTAGGATGTCAGCCAGTAAAAGATAAGCAGCAGTGAAGGATAGCCTGGGGGAAAGAACAGGGGAGAAAATCCTAAGAATAGGAACAGGAGGGAGACAAGGGAATTGATCTGGTTGCCTGCTGCAGGCACTCTTTTCCATATAGGTAGTAGGTCTTGTTTAGTGACCAGTGACATAAAAATAGGTTACTAACTTAAATAGGTGGTTCATTATGGGATGATCTCACTCCACTGCCTGGGATCTGTCTTATTCTGAAGTAACAGTGTTCTCTTTTGTTTAGATATGTTAACAACAATAGCAACAACAACAACACATGTACAGGTGGAGCACAGATTGAGATGTATTTATCAGTTTCAGTACAAACGTAGAATTTTATAATTTGTAGAATTATAATTCAGTGCTGTAGAAACTGGACATTCACAGCAGTTACTTGTAGCCATGTGCACCCTGGATCTGGGTTGAACAGATTGATCCCTCATCCACCCTGTGATACCCATTTTTTTGTAGTTTGGTAGACTACAGCAGTTTAGCAAATTGTTTTTCATTAATGTCAGTGATGTGATTTAATAAAATAGATAATTTTAAAAAGCAGCTCCAAAAACTCTTCGTTTGGGTGCTTGCTTGTTTTCAGACACTTGTATAAATGACTTTCCTGTAATTCGGAGAGAAATCTTGGCAGTGCTGGGATTCCTTCTGAGCCTGTACTGTTGGCGTGAGTGGAACGATACAGTGAGTCATGCTATAAGTGAGCGGTTACAAAGCTGTCTTGAGGCTTATCTTTTCAGGGGGTTCACTTGATATAATCACAGGGATATGAGAATACTGACTAGTGGTAAACAAACAAAATTTAAAAAGCTGACTTTAGAGAGTGATAAGAACTATGAAAGAATAATAGCAGGATACTGTGGACAGTGAGCTGAAGGAATTTCAAGCCATTCTGTTCAAGTGGCTCAGGGCAACTGTACACAGAAGATTGTATTTGAGAAGAAATCTGAAGCATAGTAAGGAGCCAGCTAGACAAAGATAGGGGTAGGGAGGATGAACATAACTGATGGGACAGAGCTGACGGGCCTGAGTTGGTAGATGTTCCTCAAAATAAAATTTATGTGTGGTTGACAAAGGTACTACTAAGAATTTCCTGGAGGGGACATTTTCAGGAATTTGATATTTTAGAGCCACAATTATTTACCATATAATTTGTATGCTGTGAAGTGCTTGACTCATTCAATAAGTATCTGTTAAATTACTGAGTAAAGAAAGGACAGACCAAGCCACTGCTTTAATGAAACTATAATTTTGGTAGCAAAGATGACCAGAAAACAATTAATCCAATGATGACAGTTTCCAAAAATGGTAAATGATATGAAGAAAATAAATCAGGAAGGGAACATGCTGTTTTCATGGGAGGTGGTCAAGGAAGGCAAGCAATTAAATGGTCTGAAGTTTATTTTATTTTTTTGGTCTGAAATTTAGAAGTCCTGTGTAAATTTAAAATTGGGAGTCATCAGGTTGCTCAGTAACATCCTAATTGTTCTTCGACTCAGCCTTCAAGGTTGCTTTGTAGAGAAGTACTTCAGTGAGAACTCTGCACAGAAAGAAAGCATTTCAGAGTTAGTACAGGTTTGATTCCAGCCCCCGATGCAGAAATCTGGTAAGCTTAGGGGCTGAGCCAAGTGAAAGGGTTTCTTTTGTTCTCAGACAGATTGGCCTAGAATCAGGTAGTCATAAGATGCCCTTTATTTTCCTGTAACAACCAGACATGAAAATTACTATCTCAATAAGATCAGTGACTATCCTGCCTATTTCAGAGGAAAAAGATTCTGAAGGTGAGAGAAAGAAAGAAGGACGTGCAGGAGGAGATGGAGCTCTAAATGCTCAGTGGTGGAAAAGTAGGGGAGAAGTTGGGTGAAAAAAACGAGGAAGAAGAGGCAATGAAAGTTGAAGGTGGGTGCTAGCGTTTGGATCTGGAATGTTCCCGAAAGGCCCATGGTGCTATTGGGGGTAGAGGAACCTGTAGAGGGATGGGACATAGTGGGAGGTTTTAGGATATTGGGGTTTTTTTTTTCTCAAAGGAGATTGCAGGACCCTTGGCTTTCTTACTTCCTGGCTGCCATGAGATGAGTGGCTTTGCTCTGCCACATCCCGTTCACATATGTGCTACCTTACCGTACGCCCAAAAGCAATGGGGCCAACTGACCCAGACTGAAAGCTCCCAGATGAGAGGTGAAACAAACCTTTTCTTTTTATAAGTATTTGTTATAGTAATGGAAAGTTGACTGGCACAGTAGGGAAAGGAAGGAGCTGAACTGGGAAGGAGAAGAGAGTTTCCTTAAGACCATCT